CTAAAATTTTCTCATTAATTGGCTATTAAGGTTTATTTATGGGGAGACTCTCAGCTTAGCACAAATCACAGTTATAGGAGACTAATAACATGCAATTTTATTGGAGTCCTGAATTCTAAGGAGGATAAAAATCATACAGAAGTTAAAAGGGAATTTATTCTCATTTTTTTACCAGATCCTATCTTCCTCCATGCGAGATTTCGCTCCTTTCAATAAATGTGAATGATATTGAACAACTAATCAATTAATAATTGCAAGGTGATGATAATCAACCAGATAGAACAATTGCATGTATTGAAGAGTATGCAAAAGGGTACAAAACTAAAAATTTGATCATGAATTTCGGAGATGACTTTGTTTATACTTCCGCTGAAGAAATCTTTGAATTCATAGAAGTTTTTAATAGTACAATCTAATAAAAAACATCAAGATATGAGCTTAAATATAGTACTTTTACAGAATACTACAATGAAGTCAGCAAAGAAATAAGGGAGAAAAAGATAGCACTTAAGACTTATATTGGAGATTTTTTACCACTATATATGCAGTTTGAAGGTTCCACTTGGAATGGCTACTATACAAGTAGACCTAATTAAAAAATCTACTTGAGGGAGTTCTCTTATATGGCTTCCTATTCAACTAATCTTTATGTTTCAAGTTAAATGTTTAAGAGAAATTCTCTGCTATTGCAATAAAGGTAAATGGTTAATACTTTATTAAAAGAATAAAGTATACTGACACATCATGATACAATCACCTCAACATCAGTTGAGAGTGTACTTACTGAAAGATTATAAAAGCTAAACTAAACTCTATATGAAAATAGTGAAATAATTGATGACACAATAAAATAATTTATGCTTTTAAAACTTGACTATATTGAACCTATGATACTATAATACAATTAAGAGTCTTCTCCTCTGATAAAGATTGTTAACGGAATGAATAACTTCTTAATTATGCATAATCCTAGTACCAAAGAAATAGCTTTTCCACATTTAAGATTTGAAGATGATGGAAGCTTCCTAAGTCTTAAAGTTTGGGATGATAATCTTCTTCAATTTGATGTAATTGAATATGACTAGTTTAATTATACAGATTGTAAAGAATAGAAACTGCAAGATATTTATCCTAACATAAAAATCAAGCCATTTTCATTCAGTATTATTGAAATGAAGTATGGTAATGACATAGATGAGAAAGAAATGCATGAAAAGTAAACACTACCTAAGCAAGAGGAAGTAACTTAGCTACTTAATCATGGTAATATTATCAGAGACACTAATTTTAACAAAAAATATAAATCAAGCGTCTCAAACTCAGCTGATGACTATTACATTGAACTTGAAGGAGAAAATTTTGCTAGTAATGAGAATATTTAAAATAGCAAAAAAGATATGGAGATTACTACAAGCTAATGTACTTTGAGGATCTTAGATATCTAAAATTCCAGAATAAGTTTAAAACTTAGAGACTAAATTACTGAGCATTCTATTTTCTTCTTCTTTGAAATAAGATACTACTAAAGTTACGATAATGGTAATTCAGAAACTAGTGGAATTTATGTTTTCAAAACCAAAGACGCTGATTCTAAGATCTACAACTTATAATTGAAATAATTTCATGCTTAGCACGGTGACAATGTCTCTCAGTTCAACTTATAATTTAGCTCTGAGTAAGATGGAGATGCCTAAATCTTTATTAAAATGAAGGAAGAAACCCATGAAACAGGATGTGGAGAAATTGAATTTGATGTTCATTCAATGGGCATTGAGCCTAATAAGGATGTTACAGTTAACTGGATTTAACCTGATATAAGTAACAATGGAGTTTTTTATACTGACTCAAATGGCCTTGAGTTCATCAAAAGAAAAAAGAAAGGAATGCATGAGTAAGATAAAGATTATGACTTGTCAGCTCCATAGAATTTTTATCCAATTAACTCTGCAATCTTTATCGAAGATGAAGAGGATTAAACTTAAATGATTGTGATTAACGATAGAACTTAAGCTGGCTCAGGATTTAGAGAAGGCAGCATTGAATTAATGTATGATAGGAGAATTTTGAGTTCTGACAGCTTGGGTAACCCAGAAAATTTAGATGAAAGATATGAGGATGGTACTCCACTTAGAACGAATAACAAGTATTACCTCAGATTCACTAATTCAAAAAAACATGCGTTCAAAGCTATTTTCGAGAGGACATTTAAAACTTTTAACCCAACTCAATACTACTATGCTAATGACTTAATAAAGGTACCTACTAAAAAGCAAGTCTAAAGCTATTAAGTGAATTATAAAAATTTCCAAGCATCTTTAGATAACCTAAACATTATAGACTTAAAGTTGTCCCCTGATTAATAATTTTAAAATATCACTATGTGGTTAGTGCAAGAAAACATAGAAATGGATGACATGTCTCATTTAAAAATAATCAATGGGATTTAAGAACTTATTAAAAACTATTGTAGACTTTTAAGTTAAGGAGAGGATTTTAAATGTAATAGGTAATTTAAGATCAAGCCAAATAAGCTTACAGGATAATACTTGGATTTGGATGGAAAAGAATTTAAATCTCCTGATTCATCAATATTAAAATTATTAGCTTTTGAATTTGAAATATGATTATTTTAAGTATTTTAATAACTTTATGTGTTTTATTCAGAGCAGATGGGGTTTTGGGGTTTTGGGG